GGAGAACTCAAACACCGAGTCGACTGAGCAATTGAGCAACTTGTACCAAGGAAAAAATGCTGTGTCCGTTGTTTGGACACATTTTGGCTTTCGTGAAGACGACATCAAACAGAAAGAAATCAAATGTAAACAGTGCGTAAAAACTGTTTCAGCAACTGAAGGTGATAACACCAATCTGTTGCACTTGGCGCACAATCCCATCACCAAATATGAACAGTGCAAAAAACAGACAGAGCACTCAGCAACAAGTGCCTCCACAAAGCAGCTCTCGATAACAACGAGTAATTTACAAATTTACAAACCCTATGTTATTTTCTAATTTTCGCATGACAGTATCTAAAATGATTTATTTTGTTTGCAAGAAATGCAAGTTATTTATTTTCTACATTTTCAGGGCGCTTGCTTTTTACATTAAAACTAAAATGTGACTTTTTTTGTATGTGACCTTTGATGTCAACATGGCACAGATTTGGATGGATGGACCTGCATTGATACAGCACCTGTCTAGTCATCCAACCACTCAAAACGCTTTTTACACAACATGTCACAGTCACCCATTCACAGACACGACCCTCTGTAACTCTGAGCCACAGCCGATTTGTACATTGAAACAAAACATCCACTCAACAAGCGCATGGCGCAGCACAGGAGAGCAGCTCGCCAGGTCAAGACTCAGCTGTCCACTTACATCAAAACGAGAAGGGACACTCCTTCGAGGACAGCAATGTCCACATCTTGGCCAGAGAAGAAAGACGGTCTGAAAGAGGCGTGAAAGAAGCAGTTTACGTCAAAACTGGAACGACCGTCTTTAAACAAAGCCGTTAAACTATGACACCAATTATCACTCACCTATGATGCAGTCTTTGGATCCCTCCCCAGACAACTTAACACCCATTCTCACCTGGACCCATCTAACCCTAACAACACGTGACCTTAACAACTCTGTAATGGTTCACACCCACACAGAGTTTAAAGCCTGCAACTCCGCACCAGTTCTTAAGAACTGAAGAAGCTTCTTGGATGAGAGGCGGAACGTCTTCAAGAAACTCAAGCAAGTCCAGTTGCCTACGATACAGCACTTATGATCTGGATGACTGAGAATCTTCACCAACATTTGATTTCAATTGTTCAACATATTCAATAAATAAAAAGATCCCACTTTTAATAGTTGAGCGTATTTACAGTACAATCCCTGTCAGTGTACTATGAAGGCAAAAAACAAAAACAAAATAATCATTTGTTAATCGTGATCATGGTAAAATGCTCAATAAATCATGATATTGATTTGATGGCATATGATACAACGAATAGTTCATTATCTGATCGATATAACAGCCAAAAGGCTGCCAAGCTGCCACCTGTCGGGTACCCTCAGTTTGTGTTTATATTTATGTACTTCAGATAGTTCAGATTTGCTAGAAAAACACAACAAAAAATGTATGCCGTTGGCCACGCTTGTACCCACAGGATGGTACACTGATCAGCCAAAACATTAAAACCCCGACAGGTGAAGTCAATAACATTGATTATCTTGTTACAATGCAGTGTTCTGCTGGGTAACTTTTGGACCTGGCATTCATGTGGATGCCACTTGACATGCTCCACCCACCTAAACACCATTGCAGACCAAATACACCCCCTCATGGCAAAGGCACTCCCTGATGTTGGTGGGCCCAAAGACGACAACCTGGCCTCTAAATTTCCCAGACCCCAATTTGATTGAGCATTTGTGGGACTTGTCAGTACCCCAGAGGTATGCCCAATCCACAGTGGGGCCTCCTTGTATCTGACTCGACTCTGACATGTCAAGGCATGGACCTGGCACAGGTTGGAGACGGATCCTTTGAGTCCTGTTGGTTTTGAAGCCAGATACCAAAATGTCCCACGGATGCTCAATCAGATTGGAATATGGGGAATTCAAAGGCCAGATTGACACCTTGAGCTCTTTGTTAAGTTCCCTGGACCATCCCCGAGCAGTTTTTGCAGTGTGGCATGGCATATTTTTCTGCTGGGGGGCCACTGCCATTGGGGTACTTGGTCTGCAACAGTGTTTAAGTGGGTTGTGCGTGTCAAGTGGCCAAATGTTTCCCAGGGGATCATTGCATTGTAATGTTAGTTATTATTATCAATTGAAGTTATTCACTTCACCTGACAGTGGTTTTAATGTTCTGGCTGATCGGTGTATGTTTTGTAATCAAACATAAAGCGCTAATAAAGCATATTGAAGGCAATATTGCTGTCTGTCGTTCCTGTTATTAGCATGCAGAGATACAGATTATTCAGTGTAGGGAGAGTCATTTTAAGGAACGTGCATCCTGTGGATAAAATAAGCAGCAACATGCTCAAAGAATAGCAAAGGGATTTTCTTTTTTGGTAACACAAGAGTACTCTAAGGAGTTACTTGTCTCTGTAGGTAACGCTGTAACATAAGAAGTTACTTTTTATTGGCAGTAGTGTTGTAGTGTAACTAGTTACTGTCAAAAGTAATGCCACCCAACACTGGCAGGGTCTACAGGCAAAACTGAGACTTACAGTATGGTCACTGCCTCTCTATTGAACAAGCAGCAAAGCACTTTTCAGTTTGTCTCTAATTAAGGTGGATTAGATAACAGTGATCAGCTGCTGGTTTAATAACTATCTGTTTGATCATCTGAGTGCTCGTGTTAAACCTGTGTTAAACGGCAGTCTGTTGTACCAGAAGGTATTCCATGGAAGGCAAAATGTAAGAAGCTCTCGTGATTTGGAGTCACCTAGACATAAAAGTACGCATCCTTTAACTCAGGATAAGAGGAGTGGGACACGCCCTAAACGCACTTTAGACCATGAGCTATATCTCATTTCAACAGGGCCCTGAATGTAAAAACACCTGAACGCCATCAGAAGCCAGATCCAGTGGCATTTTGTAGCTTCAATCAGGCCATGTTATCATTAATTCAATAAGGCCAGTTATTTGCCACTTTATGGGTCATGACGCAGACTGTAGTATGAGGAAAATGTAAGGTCACTGAGCAGCAACACGTTCATATTCCTGTACTTGCAGAGGTGAGATTCCACTGTCTACCTTTTGATAAAGAAGACAGAAGATGTTGCTGCCATTAAGGCATCGTCTGGCTGTTTTGGTGCCCTGTACGTCACATATCCACTGTTGCTCTGTTGCTCCCTATGGTAAACATAAGGAGTCTAATTTATACTTGCATACACAAGATAAATAACAGATAGCTACAAGTTTAAAGTGAAATAAAATACACATTTTGACATCAGTGAGTGGGTAAAAAATATTAAAGGTGTCTGAAATTATAGAGTAGAAGAAATCTGGCACCAGAAATACGAGTGTATTATTATTATTTTATTGATATGCACATTTAAATTCCACATTGACATTATTTGCACTTTAATTTAATATCTTCCTGGTCTGGAAGAGCGGGGAAATCGGCAGAGTTTCCCTTTAATGAACTGTTGTGAACGTGTCCAGATTCCTGCGGTCTACTCAGATTAAAGTTAACTGTTGTGAGAATAGTCAATGAGTTGCCGAGGACGGTTTCCATGGTGAAGTGGTGACTGTTGATGAGTCATGAATGTTCTGCCTCGTCAGAGTAATGTATCACACTTCAGTTTCTCTAAAGACTCCGCTTCACAAGCCATCCAATTAACACAGGCTGCTGACTGCAACCTGAGAAGCACAACAGCGAGCTCCTCTGCTCAATAAAGACAAACACACATTCATATCACCTTCACTGACCCTGGAGACAGATGTTTCTCACCGTGGTTGGTATTGATGGCAGCTGTTTGTAAGTGCTGCGGGATCAATGAAGTCAATACTCCGTCTCAAGGAAGGCTTTATTCTTCATTTTGTGTGTGCTATTAAGAAAAACTGCTCCCTGAAAATTAATTAAATCTGTGTTGGATGAGTAATGTTCTTTATATCAGACAGGGTATATTAAACTCTGTTAGAGTACACGCTGTGAATGGAAATTTAATCGACTGTTTTGTTTTATATATAAACAACACATTTACAGCACAAATGTATGTGTATACCATGTGGCTACACGTAACCGACAAGACTCATCTATGGAAATATGCAAATGTGAACATGGCCTCCCTGCTTTGCCAGGAGGTGAGTGGGCAGCACCTCAGGAAACAGTGTGCTAGTTGGTGGCTGTAGCAGCTTGAATTTGGCCAGCGAAAAAAAACAACCAGCACAGTGGACTGTTGAGCAGCGGCAGCCCTGGGTATACCTTGTGTGAGGGCAGCAACAGAAAGTTTGCTGATCCGGTGGGGAATTGGGGCTGTCTGGTCACCCAGAGCTAGATTCAGGTTGCTACTTCCACTGACCGGGGTTTCTCTGATTAACTTGACTCCTGTCTGACTGCTGAGCGTGGACACTTCCTGTGTCTGTCCTTTCAAATTAAATTCACACATGGTCCAGTCATATAGGTTTGGTATTATGACAAGGTGCAGAGTTTCACTTTTTTTTTTTTTTCTGTGACTAATTGACTCTTGCCGACTAATGACCTCTCTGGTCGACTGACGTTTGGTTGACTATTAGGGGGCAGCCCTAATTGTCATGCATATTGCAGACATCAGCAAGGAAGACTTAACACTATGATATATGTCAGTGCACGCTTCATATGATCAGCAGGTTGGAGAGGGGACTGCCTCTATTTGTCTAAAGTCTGCAGATTAACATTGTACTGTGTGCCTGAGCATTTACATGAACAGTCTGATGATATTAAAATAATTTGTAATAAACCCTCTGTTATGTAGAACATCCTGTGCTCCTTGCCTCACAGATAACCTGTTACACTCAGTGAGAGTTGTGAAGTTAAAAGCATCTCTAAATGCTCAGTGAAAGGCCCCGTTTAATCTACAATGAGTAACTCCCCTGTTGCCTAAAATAAATCAGACTACAGAGCTGTTGTTCTAAAGCAGATGCTCACAGGGTTGAATAAATTACCCTGTTGTTAACTACTCTGATTCTCTAATCCTCTCTCCATTTCCAGGCAGAGCGAGAGCGTCAATATGAGCTCCCCCAAGCCCACCACCCCCCGAAACCACCGAAGGAGTCCTACCTGAGCGAACAGGTCTTCTCTCCGCACCCCTTCACCCCTTCCATTAAGGCCCACGTGAAAGGCAGCCCCCTGTACACCGACCTGAGGCTCACCAGCCTGTCAGATGGAAAGCGCAGCCAGCCGTCCTGGACCATCGAGGAGTATAAACGCAACTCAGGAGAGAAGGGAAAGCAGCTCACCGCTCTGGACCTGCAGGTACTGAACTCTAACGACTCCCAGCAAATTAAACGGGAGGGCTGCAGGGGAGTGAGCTGAACATAGCCATCCTGTAACTTTGTGGGTATTTAACACTTGGGATGGGCATTTTAACTATAAATTCAAAGTTTAACATAAAAAAAAAAAATCAGCAAACTTTCTGTTGCTGCCATTACATAGGTTTGACGCAGCGCTGAAGGAACATCTTTGAGCCTTTAAATGGTCCCAACAAACTCACACTGACATCACTTACCTCACTTATTGACTTACCCCAATGATCCCCAGCATGCAGCTCACATTCCCGCAGCAGCAGTTTCGTGATAAACAGAGAGGGCAAGGAGGCGCTGAGCGTAACAACAGTCTGCATGCAGCTCATTGAAAAAGGTTTTACCAATTTTAAAAAGTTAAAAACATATATGTAAAAGTCATGTTCACATGTGGGAGGCTGGAGGCGATTACTCTTTATCAGTGATACTTAACTTATGGCCCACAGGCCAAATCTGGCTCTCGACAGGGTGCCGAGTGGCCCGCCAACCATTTCCTATTTCACAATGAAAGTAAATTTATTCACCTGGGGATTTTTTGTGCTTTGAATGTAAATCAGGCCCCAGAGAGCGTAAACAGCATCAACATAGAGCTTGTTTATTAAAAAAAGTGTGGTGGAGGATCCCCTGGTCCCCCCGGACAGAGGTCCGGGCTGAGCCCCACAACCCCTGCGTACACCTGACATGTGCAGGGCTGCCTCGTTTATTCATTTTATCTAATAAATATTACTAATGTTTGTTTTCATACCTGGCTCCTGGCCTCCTGTCTCTTTACAAAAGTGGCCCCTGGGAAAAGGAAGTTGAGTATCCCTGCTCTATGTTGCACGGATACAGATGTCTAAATTGAGAACTCGTACCTATCCCTACTTCACACCCTTTATCCCTGACTGTTCTGTGTGTTCCTGCTGCCTCTTCTTCTCGTAATGAGGCTGATTATTAGACGCTTCTCTGAGCCTTCAGGGGAACGCTAATGAGTTCTCATCAGAGATGAAATGAAACTAGCCTGCAGAAGAATTGAACTGCGTACATTCAACATTTTTCAAGTTGGTCTTCAGGCCAATTCACAGTGAATCTCGTCATCCACCCACGTCATCCACAAGGGTCCACACTGACCTCTATGTGGACGGTTGCATGCAGCTCATTTTTTGTGACTGCGCAGACTGTTTGCGTAGCAGGTGTGCCGACTGCACATGCTCCAGTCTGTTGTTCCACACTCCTGTCCAGTCTAAAACACTGCTGTCAAGCTAGCTGCAGCTGCTGCAGTGAAGTTAGTTTTTGTTGTGTTACCTGTCATGCCCGTGATTCCAGGATGCCAGCGCGCTGTCTAAAATCACACTCTGGGATGGCACGACGCATCTGTGGTTTGGTTCAGTGTAAAAATGCAAAGGCAGCCTAAAGAAGGGACTTCATAGTGGCTTTATAGCGCCATCTATGTGTAATGCCAGGTTCACACTACACAACATTTTTGTCTGTTCCTCAAGTCACTATGTCAGATTAGGTGATGGTGGAGTCATAAAATCTTGTTGTGACTTGGCCGACAGACATGACAGACGACACGTTGGTCGACGACCAGTCATCGCTGTCATTGTGCTGAGTAAAGGCCCAGACACTATCTGTGAATTTTATTCCTTTATGTCCTCCATTATGAAGATCGTTTTTCCTTTTTACTCTGTGTGGTAACGTCCCTACAGGAAATATCTAAAAGGCTGGGCTGTTGTCGTCATACAGTTTTCATGGCAGCAGATCGCTCTGTGTTCCTATTGGTCAAAGTGACGGCTGTGACGGGAGAAGTCATCATGAGGCGTCCCAGACGTGGTGTCGGTTGTCGTCTACTATGACCCACTACACGAGATGAAACGATGGATTATTGCGTATGACACTCATCGTTGTTCACCATCTGAGCCGACACTGTTTAGCGCTGCATCTGACTATAATTGGGCTGATATCGTTTTGTGTGAACCCGGTATAAAAAGGGCTCATGCTTGGTTTGTCCGTTCTTGGTGACTGCAGAATATTCCATTTCTGTTTTTATATTCCCCCTAAATCCTTCACACTGGAGCTTTAAAACAACATGGACACTGAAACAGGTTCTGCTGTGATCATGCTCTTCATACTGGCCGGTTAATCGTCACTTCCAAATGTGCTTTCAGTTTAAGTGACGAGGGAGAAAATTCACAGTACAGAATGAATTCCAAAAGGCATCTGGAGTTAATGCGGGGCTTCAACACTCTGAATTGGTCAGATTAAGTAGATATGGACTGCAAGACTCCGTTTTGTTGCTGCTCTGGGACTCTTCAAAGCTTTTAGTCCTCAACACTAAAATGTCAGTTGACTTTGACTCTGCGAGGCTACACAGGAACAGGAACTGTCTCTGTGTGATGGACGATGGACAGCCATGAGGGATTGGACAGTAAAAACATGGTGTGACTGCTTTGTTTGGTTAAAAAGTTTTCTGATTGGCTGACAATCACCTGACTGACTGGAACAACTGAGTTAACATTAGCTGTTTCGTTTCATCAGCTGAGATTAAAACTCACCCATATTTTATTTACCACTGTATCACTTATACACACACACCAGTGCAGACCCTCCCCCAGTATTGATCGTCATGTGTGACCTGTCGTAGATACGGGGCGTCTCCTCTTACTTGTGTGTCTGTGTGGCTTCCTTGCGACTGCAGGGACCCTGCTAAGCTTTGACTCAGGCACAGAGGCACATTATTGATGGTCACTGTACGGCCTTCAGAGTCACCAGAGACTCAGAAATCAATTCCTCTCCCTGACAAGCCTCCAGCTGTAGGTGAAAGACATCTCAGTGCTGTGACTGCTGCTTCAGATGTCCTTACAGATTCCCTTAGTGGCTTCAAAGACCTTTCACTTACTGCATCTACTGACAAAGTGGGAAAAGGCTTTTAGTATTTATCTGTCGTCCTGTAGTCTGGCTGTCTGTATCACATTGTGCAGCGCAAAGCAAAATCCCCCCATTTTGATATCAATTCAAATCGAAACCTCAACACTTAAAAAGCTCCTCACAGCACTGCATTTCTCTGTTTGCCATTCTGTCGTGTTTAGGGATGCTACAAACAAGCTTACCCTATAATTATATGTCTCATCAGACAGACGCTCTGTGAAGGCACACCCTTAAAAACCTTTCACAGCCAGAATAAAAACTGAAGGTCCAGCATGTTGGATTTAGGGGATATATTGTCAGCAGGGCCCTGGAAGGTGTTTTGCAACCTGCCAGGTGCCGAGAACTCAGAAACGCAAGGCGCCTCCATAACCTCCACTGATCAAAAATTCATACCAGAAAGAGTCATAATTGACCTTGTTTGCAGTTGGAGGTGTCCTGTCAGCAGTTTTAAAGACAACTCTTTTATAACAGTGGTCTATGGGGCAAAATGCTTTTGGGCCAAGGGACTTTTTCGCTGCAATACTGCGAGTGGCCACTGGGAAAACTATGCTGCAAGGCTGGGCAGCGTTCCTGGGGGCCTACGTCCAACCTCTGGTCTCCACTGGTCCGCTAGTCTTGGCTGCTCTGAATATGAAAAAAAAAGATGCAGCTATGGTGATATCACCCGCTGGTTTGTGGACTTGTGGTTTGGCATGTCTGCTGCTGCCACCTTTTTTTTTTTCAAGGCATTTTTTTGTGCCAGGCTGTAAACATGTTTATTTCTGCTGTAAAGTTCGGCATATTAAAATCACTGTCTTTGGGGATTGACTTGCTCTTGGAGCCAGCCTCTAGAGGACATTAGAGGAACTGCAGTTCTGCATCGGCCTCATTTTTTAGCTCCAGAGGTTGCCGCTTGGGTGGGACGGTGTTATCAGCAGTAATCAGCGGATGAGTGGCGCCACTAGCGAGCTCCCACCTGACCCAGGTGGTGCACAATGCAGGAAACTGAAGAGCAGCAAAATTAACCTCTAGACAGACGCGTGTAACCGGTCAAAAATGTTCTCAGCAGTAAACCGATTCATGATTAAGCACCCCACACACGCTCTCCTCCACCACACAGAGCTTTTAAGCCCAAAGAACCATGTAACAACAGAATGTTCAGCAGCATGGACAGAGCAGCAGCCCAAACAGCAAAACATATAATTCAAACACATCAATACACTACGGGCTCTATTTTCAGGGCGCCACAACAGCTGAGCGTCACTCTGACAGTGTTCCTGACCTTGAAATTCCCCGGGGATGGAGAAAGATAAAGACAAAGGTTACAAGGCTGCACACAGGGTGGGAGATGTGAGTAACTCGAGGCACGATAACATCACTGAGTTGAAAAACACAAAACAAACGTCCAGTTCAGCCGAACTTATTTGGAAGAGAAAACAATGGACATCAAAATCACGGAGCCTCACTGTAGCAGAGTTTTCATGGTCAGTGAGTGATTATCAGTGAAATGTCACTAACGATCAGTCACTGAACATGACTAAAAAGTGGCCTTTTATTGTGACTGTCTCAAGTCACACCTGTGAGTTAATGAACAACCACATCACACCTTACTGACCCATGTCTGTGTCGTGCGTCATCTCAAAATCGCTCAAGAACAAGTCCCAGAAAGACTCACTTGGGATGAATCATCTTTGTTTTGTTGTTTGCATCGTGACAAGGCTAGTGGAGCGTTCAGTCCTGCAGAGTACACTGTTATATTTAGGGACTGTTCTTTATTATCAGAGGAGAGGGGATGGCTAGGCTGTTACGACTTCTTCTCTTATTTCTTTTTTTTTCATCCTCCCTGAGGCTACAAAATATTCCCTTGAGCCTCCCTGAGTGACTGGCAGAAAATGCATGACCCTCTGTCCACCATAAATTAGTTTGAAAGTTTAAAGTGAACCATCTGAAAAAGGACTTTCTGCGAGCACCTGTGGGGGTTGTTTCACATGATCCTGTTTAAAATCTATCTAAAATAAAAACTAAAAAACTATAATAGCTAGAGCGTTCATTTTTTTTGCAGCAGAG